TCTAGTTCCACAGGTTTTGGGATGCTAGGGGGAGGACTAGAGATCTGGAGCAATCTCCTGGAATAAGGTGTCAGAACAGATTTACCTAGTTAAGTTGCACAGATGTATCCCTGTTTTACATGTATGCACGTAAGTTCTAAGAACTAATTCTAAAACTTCAGTGTCAAGGGCTTTAATGACTTTCTCTTGATGCTTTGTCCTTGGTTGCCAATGCAAGGGTACAGGGTAGAGTCCACCTTCTTGGGCTCCCCTCCAGCAGCTGGCGTCTGATTTCTGCAGAGAAGGGAGACTTATTTCCAATGTCAGTAAGATTTTACACTGGTGTTGTCTCATTTAATGTGTGCTAAACTGGTGTGAACCCCTAGAAGTGACCAGATTATAGAGTCCTCTCAGCTGCCAGTGGCCCTTCTGTAGCAGAGCTCTCCCTGCATAAATCAAACAGGAAGCCCATCTTTACAGAATCACAGAATATCCTGAGTTGGAAGGGACCCACATGATTACATGGCCCTGTTTTGGATGTTGTGTTGTGTCAAAATACTTGCAAAACATCCCGCATCATATGAAGATCTGAGGGTGGGAAATTTACAGAAATTGAATGTGTGAAATTGTCCGCAAATGTTGAGGGGGCAAAGCAGCCACATTCAGACATGTATTTATAGCTCTTTCAACAAGATGGCAGGGGTGAAAGTTAAGTTAATGGGTTGTAGCAGAAATTTCATTTTCTTCTTTCAGAAAGTATCATGTATCATTAAGCTGCTTTTGAGTTTTAAAAGCTCCAAAATTTTTGATTGAGTCATTAAATAGAAATTTAGGGATGCTACTGGAATGTTGGTTCTCCAAAGACTTTCCCTTTGAAACACTTCCTGCTGGGGCCAAAGGATCCAATATTCACCATCTGCTGATGATTATTACAGAATGACATTTCAGATACTGCAAAATTAACTCTTCTTGTGGTAGTTCATCTTGTCTGAACAGAATTAATTACTATGAGTTTGTTTTGGGTATTTTTGTTTAAAATTTTGTGACCTGTTTTCAGTCAAGCAGATCTAGAGGTAGTGACACTCTGAACTCATGGCTATTTTAAAAGCTGGGGTTTTTTTCTTCACCAGTAAGAAGCAAGTTAGCAAGTGACTCCCCTCCTAAAGAAACTCTCAAGGTTGTTATCAAGATACTCTTTTCCTGTGTGTAGAATCTCCATTTTCCAGGTGTAAAATTAGGTAGCAGATTTTTCCTCTGCATTCCAAATACATTCCAAAAAAAAAAAAAAAAAGTGTCTGGTGAATCTTTGCTTTTTAAAGTACAGTTTCATTTTCTTTATATTGTTTTCATTTAGTTCTATGCTGAGATACATTAATGAGAGTTATTAATCAGAAATCATTCTAGTACATAGATATACACCTTGGTTATAACTGTAAAATATGCAGGTTATGCATCATCTCCTTGAATATAAATTTTACTCTAGTAGGAAGAACCAGATTATGTGCCATTTCTTAACTGAGTCTGAGAGTTTTTTTGGTTTACAGGACTTTTGCTGCAGCTCTTCACAAAGGCAAAGTTATCTCTAAGCATCTTGTTGGCAGTACAATATACTTTGGTTTGTCAAAATCATTGCATACAGTGATTCTTATCCACTTCTGTAACAAAGCAGGATTTAAAATACTAACAGGTATTCTGCTTAGTGCTGTGTCTACGGTAGAATTTACTATTTTATGGGCAATGTGTAGCACTGATATCTGATTATATTTGCAGAATTTTGTTTGGTCTTTATCACGTGTTGAATTTATGGATGCTATTGAAGAGCTGCTTTATTTCACTATGAAGATTGATGATCCAGATCCCCAGTAGGTGTAATTCAGTACAGTTGAAGTCAGTGGAGCTTTATTGCTTTACAGAAAAATAGTTCTTGAAGTTTGAACCAGGATTTTCTTTGGTGCTGCAGGTATTTTACTTCTACCAAGGAAGCGACTAGTTTTTAATCACTGCTTTATCTCATCCATTGGAATATTCTACTAAAGGCTGTTTTCAGGTGTTACTCAGCCTTTTGATAATGTAATTTTAGAAAATATTAACTCAAATGTGTTGCTAAAAATAATACAATTTACGATGTTTTAATGCTAAAAGACTGTAAGACTAAATATTTTATTCATGATTCCAAAGTCAGTGATCATTGTTTTACTGGTTATTTCTAAATTTGATGTTTAGTTTGATAGTTCTATTTTTTAAATGTTGTGTTGTTAGTTTGACAGCATTTTTTTTCTACATAAATAACAGCTTATAAAATAGATTATGTTTAGGAATTTAAAAATTTTAAAGAACTGTATATTATTCTGTTCATTTTCATAATTCTTCCTTCCTTGTTACCATAAATTTTTGATTATTTATTTATTCAAGTAAAAGAAAGAAAACAATCAATAAACCCCCAGAACCAAAACAAACAAAAGTAAAAAACCCAACCAAATAATAATGAAAAACAAACCAAACCCCATCATTTTTAGGAAATGGGAGGGGAAGAATTCCTCCCCTTTTTCCTTTTCCTTTTTATTTTTTATGGGACAGATCTGATTCAGAAAGCACTTCGTATCTGTTTCCTATGTTGTTTTGGAATATTTGTTAACTGCTATGTGTAGACTTATGGGTGCTATAGCTTCATTTGAAAATGCCAGGAAGTTGAGATGCAGTCTTTTCCAGAATGAGCAAAATGTCTATAAAATTTGCTAAGCTTGATAACTGAGCAAATATTTTTACATACTCCTTGAGGCAAGTGATAATTAGAATTTGCAGAAATTTCTCTTCTTGAGGGGATTTTGCATGTGTGTGTGCTGTTACTGTTGGTAAAAGAACTCTAGGACATAAATAAATTTTCTTCTCAAATACAATGCCTTGAAGTTGAGAACGCAAAGCTCCAGTTTCCTGTTCTTTGGAGGAATTTAATTATGTATTGTGAATATTTTTGAATTGCACTTTCCTTGTAACCTGAAAAATCCTAAAATCCTGATAAGGGTGTTTTTGTGGTGGTTTTTTTTTGTGTTTTTGTTTGTTTTTATTTATTTATTTATTTTTTTTTTTAATTTGGTTGGTAGATAGTTTGGTTTGGTTTGGCTTTTTTGGTTTGTTGGTTTGATAGGGGCTTTGTTTGGTTTTTTTTTTTTTTTTTTTTGTTAGTTTTTTTCTTTGTTGTTGCTGGGGTGTTTTGGGTTATTTTTGTGTGTGTTTGTTTTTTTCCTCACCTTAGCTTTTCAAATAAACATCCTACAAAATATTTGTTTCGGAAACAAACCAAAAAGCATCCTATATATTGCTTTCACCATAATTATACACCTAGATCAGTCACAGAGTTGCAAACATTCACTAGAGCAGTACTAGGCTGCTAAGATCTGTGCAGTTTGCACCCTGGAACAGTACCAGAAAGAATGCCACAAATACATTCAGCTAAAAAATTTCCAGGGATTCCTGAATCCAAATATGTAGAATAAACAGTAGTTAACGGAAACCAAATTTTGTGATGTGATTTGTCTAGTGGATTAAACTTTGCTGTTGGGAGACCTGAACTTTGTTTCCAGCTTGCTAGAGGGGAACATGACATCCACATTCTAGGAAAATGAGGTAGGAAGGATCCTGTGTGCCTCCTGTGTTGGGAAAATCACAGGATTTTTTTGGTTTTGCCTTTTCCAACAAGAATTTTGAGGTACACAGTCTACAATCCACAGTAGTAGAAACATTTAAAATTAATTTTCAAAATATGGTGTCATTCTTAACCATTTACCATATTTTAACTAACGGCCATTCTTATCAGAAGGAGCAGCCTCAGCAGCACTAGAAAGAGCTATGTGTCCTATCTGTACCTTTAGCTGTTCATGTAAAGTAAATATCACAGAGCAGTCACAGAATCATAGAATATTCTGGTTGGAAGGGACCAAAGGGATCACCAAGTCCAACTCTTAAATGAATGGCCCATTCAGGGAACAAACCCATGAGCTTGATGTTAGTAACACCATGCTCTAACCAAATGAGCTAAAGTCTTGATAGGACACACAAATGTGTAATGTGGCCTTGGAATGTATCTCAGCATGCTAATTAGCATGTGAAAATGTAAACTTTGTATAATTTATAGTTTTAATTTATAGCTCAATTTAATATTACAAGTAGCATTGCTGTAGCAAGCAGACAAAAGCTTTGGACCAAATATAATGTCTTCTACAAAAAGTCAAGCATAAAAGTGTGCTATGAAGAAGGTTACAATATAAGTACAAGACAATGTACTATGAATGCAGGAGGATAAGGGGTCAAAAGGAAGCAGTGAGAAAATATTGGTTAAAATGGTAATTGTGGTATTATAATAGCCTAATTATTGCTTTTAATATGCTTTGAAACAGGTGGAAATTTTGCAGTGGGGTATGAAAGAGAGTGAACCTGATTTATGGATGTTTTATGAAGAGCACCTAATTGATGAAGTAGGAAAAGCTGGAAAGAGATGCAGGTATGAGCGAACAAGTCACTGAACCACTTGGTGTTAATTAGAGATGATATCTAAGGTGAGCCCTTTGTAGACCTGGGCAATAGAGGTAAGTAGTTTTATCTTTTATCCTTGTCTGGGCTTAACCCTAGCTGGCAATTAAAGTACCAGACAGCCACTTGCTAACTCCCCCCCCACATCTGTGGGAGGAGAGTGATAAGGAAAAGGTAAAACTTGTGGCTAGAGAAGATAAATTTAATAACTGACACAAAATATAATAATGATAATAATAAGTATGCTGTTGCTTCTGCTATTACTAATAGTATCTGTAATGATAAGGAAACAGAGAAAGTAACAGGATTCTAGAGAAACAAGTGATCCACAGTCAGTTACTCACCACCTGCTGACTAATGCCCAGCCTGTCCCCAGTCAGCAATTGGCCCCACTTCAGGTTACTCCCCCAATTCATATACTAAGCATGCCCAGGTTTTTGTGCAGCTCCTCACTGGCAGAGCATAAGTTACAGAAAATCCTTGATTTAGGGTAATAACTAATTAGCAGCAACTAAAACATCAGTGTGTTATCAATATTATTCTCATACAAACCCCAAAACCACAGTACTGTAGCAGTTCCTAAGAAGAGAATGAGCTCTGTCCCAGCTGAAACCAGGATAATCCTGTAGAGAAGTCAGACCCCATCATGAGATTTGAAGTGGATAATAGCACAGCTAAAACTGTGATTTAAGAAAATTATCACTGTGTTTGTAAATAGGCAGGAAAGCCTATTGGGTTAACCAAGGCCAGAGACAGGCAAGATGAGGGTATTAACTCTGTGGATGGTTTGGAAAGCAACACACTAGAGGTGACACCTATTCTCCAGTAGACATCACTGTATACATTTTAATTGCAAAAGAAGGTAAAATATTGTTTGGACAAACATACCATCTGAAAAGGAATGTTGATCTTTATAGATTTGCTTGTGATCAAAAAGAGTCCTTTGCACTACCATTGCATTTTAGACTTCTGCTCCAGATAGAGCTGCAAAAAATATGGGTTGTGAGATTTTTGTTTGTGGATTTTGTAGTTTCATTTTGTTTTGTTCTGTTTTAAATAGAGTTTTCTCTGTAACTGGTATTTTTACAGAAGTTTTCCCTGAGAGAGGATCTTGGGAAAATACCAGCTAAGGAAGTTCCACTGAACTCAGAAATATATATGAACTGTGTGAACTGCTCCTTTAGGATGTGTGTGTGGGAGGTAACTTTTCCAGCTGTGACAAGTTTAGTCCTGCTGGCTGGAGGAAAGGGAATACCATAGCTATGAGGCAAGGGAATGTTTCAGTAAAGCTGATTTAGGTGTATATAGCATGAAGCACCTAATGTAGATCACCATTGTTCAACAAAGAGGCACAACCTGCTCCTGTAACTTGGAGTCTGGCAAAAGAGAACTTTCTGCATATGCTCCCCTCTTCTGTCCCATTTCTCTGGCTCACAGAGGGATATGGACAAACAACTAGTTACTGCTGAATAAACAAAGGTGTGTGCAGCCTGCTAATTTCCAAGGAACAGCTTCCACGCACATGTCTTGCAGTGAAAAAGAAATAATTCACAGTAGTCTTACCATCAGTGGAAGAGGGCTGAGGGCTGGCTGAGCTGCTTTGTGTATATCAATGGCTGTGTGTTTACTGAAGAACCATGGACAGACTGTAAATGCCAATCTCAGTTTGCGACACAGTCACTCTGGCCAGGTGTGTTTTATGTGAGGCTCCCTTCTCGTCTTTCCTGCTGTCTGACTGTTCACTGCTCACTTTTGGCACAGCATGACACATGAATCTCTGCCTAGCCCTTTACCTTACAAGGGGAGAAACAGGTAGATTAGTGCAGTTAAGACTGGCTTATAGATACTATGTCTGTCCTCATCATGTGACAATAGATGTTGGGTAATTTCCTTCCTCCTTCTGTGCTTAATTGTCCCATATGTACAGTGCAGCTGATGAAGCCAAGCTCTTAAATATATTAAATTATATAATGTAACTCTTAACTATATAACTCTTAAATTCTTTAACTTAACTATATAACTCTTAAATTCTTTAACACCTGAAGATTTAAGAGTAGTAGACAGCTGCATTTTGCCCCTTTTTAGAGTTACCTTACAAGAGCACTGTTATTACACAACAGTGTGGAATAAGCAACTGGAAACAGGCACAGGTACTCTTACTGAATGTAAAAATACTACATTTCTCAAGGTATTTATATTTATCCTGTTGGAGGTATTTTACAAATCAGAAGAGAAGGGTCGGGCTTTTGAAACGTTATTAAATTAGGCAAAGTGCATTCTGCATTTGGATCACAACTTAGCTGATCTCATGTAATCAAATTAAAAAATACACAAAATACACTATAAATTCAACAGAACATATTTTTCTCTAAAGATAGTATATTTGGAACTAGAAAAATCACTTATTATTTGGAACACTTGTCAGTATCAGGAAGGAAAGCAATGAGCTACTTAAATCATAAGAAAAATAGTGCAATGCATTTATTTTGTCATAAATTGTCTAAAGTGTAGACAATTTCTAGTGATGGAAATTTAGAAAATACAGAAGAATAAATAAATTAAATGTATCAAAGAATTTGGGAGCCCAAACCTGAAGCACTTAGGCAAGACGAAGTCTTCTTGGATGATATCTCTGATCTTGTTGGAAGTTGGTGTCAATGCCAGAGATTCACTTGTTTTGGTTTAGCCCTTTGCTATGAGCAGGTGTTTCATTTACACTTCCAAAAATTTCTAATTTTTGAAGAAAATCCTCTGAATGTGAATGCCTTCTTTTCAAAGCTGATTGTGGATAAGATACCTATCCCTGAGTCAAAGGACCAGTGTAGTCTAAATGCCTTCGCTAAACTGATCCATTGATAAATTGATGTTTCTGTTCTTGTTGCCTATTTTTTTTTTTCTTTTCAGACTTGCTTCTTTTTGCCTTTTTTCCCCCCCATTTCTTTATCTAGTATAATTATTCAGACTGAATTCAACAGATAACATTCTGCCATGGAATGTTCTTTTTTTCTGTTGCTCATGATTCCTATGAATTTTCAGGTTTCAAAAACCCTAGATACTATATGGCTTCTCGTTACCACTTGCTCCTTAGATATCCAATAAAGGGGTACTCTCTTCTCTAATGCAGGCTTGCTACTTGAAATTTTGCCACGTGAACCTTTATTTTCCCTTGAGATGCTTTTTTCCAAAATTATTTTTTTCTTTAATAATTTTATCCTCAAAGGAAGAAATGTGCCTCTCCTCTTCCTTCAGTCTTTCTGTAACATTTCAGCTCCATGTTCAGGATATTTTTTTGACCTTTTATATCCCCTACATCTAATGACATTTGTTTCATCAGCTTTAGTAAAGATGAATGACCTTTTAACTCTTTAAAAAAAAGCAAATCCATTTTCATCTTTCTTTGCTCTCTTTTCTTGTTATAGAAGGAAGCTTTACTCTTTCCTTTTACTTGCTTTAAAGTCTCAGAGTGAAATCCTGGTCCTTATTAAGTTTAGGGAAAGATTTCTGCGGATGTAGTCGAGCCCAGAATCGACTACTGGTTTTATTGTGAAGGCAAAATTATTGCCCAAATTTTCAAGTAAAGAGTTAGTCTTTTTAGCCTTCTTTTTCCAAAATAGTAAACATGCAGATTTTAATATTTAGTCTTGGTAAATGGTGGTTCTATGCCTAGAAGAACAACTTCAGAGAAAGGTACTAATTGAGATTATCATTGGAGTTAGAAAAAACTGTTTCCTTATCAATTAAAAAAAAAAAAAAGTTAAATATCAAAATCTAGCTCTTTATTCAGAATTGGGATGCACTTTAATTCTTTATGTAATAAAACATAACTAATTCATTAAAAGAAAGTGTGCCTGGGATGTATCAGATTTACACACAAAATCATGGTCTGCTTTTTATGGAGAACAGAGCAAGTCTCTGCTTCTGGAAAATAACCTGTCCAATTGGTTATTTTGGGATGTGGCAAGCTCCTACCAGAGAAAAAGATCAGCTGTGAAGTCAAAACCCAAGTAAAATGAGAGATTGGCTATATAAGAGAGTGATGAAAAAAAATAAATGTTTTCTGTGCTCTAACCACACTTCCTTTTTTTTTTTTAATTACAGAATATCAGTGGGTAACAGCTGAATGATCTGGCTCCTAAATTCTCTTTAGTTTAAAATTAAGGAAATTTATAGTTATCCTTGTTATAAGTTTGTATAGATTTAGCTCATTTTGATGGTTCTCAGATGAAATTTGTGGTTATCTTGCAGGGACTCTGACATTGACAAGTGGGAGAATTAATGTCTGTGTAACACTTAGCTGTGTATGAATCATGAAGGAATATTTTTGCTCTGATGTCACTGGGTAAAACATCTTTGGATCTGTATTTTGTTTCCCCCTGCTGTCTTATTTCCAAGTAAGATTGATAAATGCTAAGAAAAATGCCGCTTTTATAGAGAGTGTTTTAGGAGTTGTTAAAGTTAACAAACTTGGAAGAGTAAGACAAGTAAGTGCAGCATGTCCTGTTACATGATATCTACCTCTTCAAACGCATATTGTACATAGCAGCTCCCCATGCTTACAGAAAGCCATCTGCTCTTCAAATGCAGTTGTAAATAGATATAAGTCTTCTAGACCTAGAGTATGTACAGACTCCCACTGAACAATATTGATTCTATAGAAAGGAGGTTGACCTTGGAGCTGGGACCTGCAGGAGCCGGGGTTGTTGTTGTGCCCCGTGGGCTGTGAAGCTGATGGTATGCAGGAGTCCTTCTCTCTCTGTCCAAAGCTTGTGTTAATGGGTATTTCTGTCTGTTTCTTATCCTCCCTTTCAGCAGTTTGTAGTTATCTGGAAACTGAAGAAAACGGTCTTTTCCTGTACTTCAGTTTACCACCTTCAGTGGTCTCAAAAATAACAGCCAAATTCTCTTCTCAGCTATTAAGTAAAAAAGGGAACTCTTTGCAAAGCTTATTTGTGCTTTTGCTGCTTTCTAACAAATATAACCAAACATTGTAAATATTTTTCCTTGGTTCATTTAATATAAATAGAAAGTCCTGTAAAGGAGTGAATTTATCTAATAATATCTAACCAGGTAATGAGATCTTGATTCATTAATTTGTCCCTTGGCATCTTGGGCATATGAAGCAGATCAACAAATTTTTTGTATTGGTAATTTATTCTGTGATGCTGTGTTTGATGGTGTTTATTTTTTTGATCAAATAGGATCTTTTCCCATATAATTCCTCATCTGCTAATAACAAGCATGGTCTATAACTCATGTTGACTTATCCTCATGAGAGACTTGCTCGCATTCACTCCCAAGAGTAAATATTAAGATGACATATTATTAAGGAGTGTTAAATATTTAAATTTATTAGCAGATGGGACTTAATTTTTTTTTCTGCTCATCATAGAGTTGTTTATAGAAGTACAGCATTATTAAAAATTTGGTCATACTATAAAATATCTGGCTAAAATATGGCAAGAAAAGTCCATCTTCGGAAAGAATGTGCCAAGGCCCTTAGGGCTATACCACGGCTTTACTTTGATTCATCTGTGTTAATTAGCTGCTTCCTTATCCCACCTCTGAACCAAGCAGCAGATGTCATCCACCTTAATTCAGTTCCTCCAAAGAGTATGTACTACTGGAGTTGTGTCATTTCATTTTAAAAGGAGTTCTGGTACAGCCTCTATTAAAGACACAAAGCAGTGTTATCTCATTGATTCCAGTAGCCACCTCAGTATCCTTCTGCTAAATGGCAAGTAGAGAGCACAGGCTACCTGTGATTCATACCCTTGCAAAACCAGATGTACACATCCCTTTCCATTGTTTATATTAATATGGAGGTCCTACAGGGAGCTGCTTGCTCTTACTTTATGGTGCTGTCAGCGAGTGCAGTTTTGTGAGGGAAAATGAAGGGAAACACACTGCAGGGCTACATTAACCATGGATTTTCTCAAAGCAGATTCCAAGACCTCCTTGCTCAAATGCCTCCAAGCAGAGGAACGCCTTGTCTTTAGACACTGACTAGAAATTGGGGTGGGCATCAATATCAGTAAGGCACAGCGACCTCCAGATGCACTTGGGGAGCCTTGCTAGTCCCAGGATGCAAAATTGTGTTATCCAAAGGGCTGAGATAGCATGATCTTTGTCATGTAGCAAATCAGCTTTTGGAAGGTTCTGATCTCTTTGGGTTGTCACCATTTCTTGAACTTTTCATGGAGTGCTACAACTTTGTTCTTGTACCAAGGTGAACTGTGCACTTCCTGTGCACATCCGGTGCACCAGAAATTAGGCTGAGTGAACATAAATTACCTGAACATGTTGTCAGTCTTCCAAAGTGAGGAATATATATGAAGTATTTTTCTACTCTGAAACCCCAATTCTGCTAGAAGGAATAACTTCAAGGAAGAGTCATCCAGAGTAAAATCTTCTGGGCTGCAGTAAGTATGGAAGTGGACACCATGATCTTTTTTGACCTTAAACTCTGCAGAATTAAGTTGGTTTTGTGCAACCTATTTTTAAGGCCACCCTTCTGTAAAAGTTGCCACCACTGCCAACCCATTTGTGATTCTCCTGACAAGTTAAATGGATGAAGAAAAGGTGGTGAGTTGAAATCCGGTTTATTTTCTGAGTTCTGTGAGTGTCTAGGTATTATCCCATGTGTCCAAGAGAAGAATGTGTAGAATAATAGCACTGTATTTGGAAATACGATCATGTTTTCTGTCTTCCTCTATTTAATGTACATTGGCCATAGCTTTTCATTTACTTGCATTTAGGTCGTGCATTTAGGCATGCATCCTCCCTGGATTACATTCTCCAAAGCTAGCAGGCTGCATTGCTCCATTGATTTCAGTGGAGTTATGACTATTTATGCATCAGTCATGTATAGGAAAGCATAATGAAGGGTTCATTCAAAACCAGAATTGAATATCTTGCAATCCATCCTCACCCTCTGCCCTCAAGAATAAAATAGAAATAATTTAATAGATAATTTTTTCTTTTTTTTTTTTTTCTTTTTTTCCCAGAATACTGAAAATGTGTCTTGCTCTGGGATAGATGATTTGGGTTTAGTGCAAAATTTTCACTGCCTGTTTGCCATTTTTCCTCATACCTGCTGTCGGAAATGCATCAGGAAACACAAGCGAGTCTAACTGACAGCTCTGTGGAGGCGAAGGTAGGCTGTGACCTGAAATGAAGATTTCTCTCATAATGAGAAACAGCTGAAAGATTATGTATATAGAGCTACTAAAATAGATTCCCTGGATCTTTTTCATAAACCAGCAGATGGTAGCAGAGTCTACAGATCTCAGAGAAGGCAAATGTACCTTACTGTAACTACCCTCATTCACTTGCCATTAATCTTTACTTGTCAGCCTCTTGAGTGCCTTCTGTAGTGCTGACCCTGAAATTGCATCATTTAATTTGTTATCATGTATTGCCAACATTTCCCCTTTCTATCACATATCAGCTGGATTAATTCTGTTGTGCTGTGGACCACTGATAGCGACAAGCAACCCTCTGTAGAAAAAAGATATTCATAAAATGGAAGAGAGACAATAAGAAAGTCTGATTTGCTGCATAAAAAGGGGTGAGGGAAGGAGGAAATGAGAGAAAAGAGATGTGTGGCCATGGATTTGTTTGTCTGTCTTCTTTCACCCATCCCTGGAAGTCTAAATGGCTTGATACTATTATTTAAGAGTTGCCAGAGTGCTCCTTCCATAGCATAAAAAAGCAAACAAAACACAGGTTCTGTTTATGGAGTCTCTTACTTGAACAGTGGTGCTGCATATAGAAATAAGCCAGAAGAGTATGCTTTCTGAATTGAAGCCAGCATGTATAATGAATGTGTGAGTATTTCTAATTAAATGGGATTCATGGTGTGTTTCTGAGAGAGGATTTGAAAGGGGAGGCTGAATGCTGTACCTCGTGAAGAGGGAGAGAGACCTAGTGTCTTTGGTGGCTGATGTATTTTTGCCTGCTCTTCTTGTGACTATGCCCAAGGATGGCAGGGCTCAAAAGTTCAAACATAGTCAACAGTTAGTCATGTTGAAAGTGTTGTTGAGATGTGAGTTACATGCTGTGACCCTGCCTGCAGTGACTGGTGAAAAATTGCTTTCAGGAGACACTGAAAGACCAAAGAATCCAACATGCCAAAATGATTAAGTCAGATGTACCATTCTATCCACTGATCCACTTTTTCCTCTGAAGAAGTAGCCGTAGGATAATGAAACAAAACTGCATCTATAGAGAGAGAGTATTAAAACCAGCATGCCTGCATAAAGGATGCAAAGTGTTCTGTACTAATTTGGTTTCCATCATGCTGGAATTATCTCCTCTGTGGCCCTGGGAAAAAAAAAAAAAATACAAGATTTCCTCTTACATCATTCACACTGACCTTAGTGAGACTCCCGAAAATCCTTTTCTTTTTAGAGTTGTTATAACATCCACAGGCTCTAGATGGTACTATGCAATTGCTCTATTGGGTCTTGCCTTTTGTGTTGGCTCCTTACCTTTTTTTGGCTTCTACAAAATGTAGTGAAAGCAGAGCAGAAAAATTAAATCAGCAAGAAACCTACCAAATAACACATAAAAAGGTCATAGATTTTTGTTTCAGACTCTGTATTTAGATTAGCTTTCTTGTATAATGGGATAGATGTTCTAACAGTGCTTAACACATTAGATTCTGGTATTAATGAGTTATGCTGTATTGAGCCAGTGTTTTCTTTACATTTACTGACATGAAAAGAGAGAAAAATAATTTAGGGTTTCCAAAGAGTCCTAAGTTTTTTGCTCACTGTGGTTTGTGTGTACAGCGTGCATGAACATCTGTGCATTCCTCTGACAGTCCCATGGGGACACCCAAAGATAACAGCTCTCTGTCACTCAGGCGACAGGGTCCTACGTGCAAAAGTGGGAAGAGCAATCACACCCCCCCAAAAAAAAATCTAACAGCAGAAATTATCTATACACAATTTCTCATGAGCTCTTAAGGAGTGCCTCACTGAGTTCAGAGACATAGTAGGATAAACAGCTATTTTCTACAGAGCTGCATTAAAATATATCTGAGTACATAATAAATGCTGTAATATGAATTTTTCAGACTGCTAAAGAAAAATAAAATACAAGCCCTAACGCATGTGCTTCCCTTGACATTTCAAAAGTAATTCAAAATTAAGTTGTCCTGTGAAACTCTTCACAATATAATTGCACTAGAACTCCATGAAACTCCAGTTGATAAAATAAGTGAATCACAATTGATACACTTTATTGTCCATATCGTATCTTACCAGATTTCTGGCACTTATTAGTCTTAGATGAGCTCCTTTTTATTCTTTATCTACAGTTGTTAAAGAACCTGCAATTTCTGACAATCAGACAAAAGTACAAATTTTAGCCTGACCCCACCAAAATGAAGACACCCAAATCAAAGAAGAAAATTCAAGGAGTAATTCAATTTTTTCCACAGAAAGTCCTACTAGGAATTAGGTATGCATGTCATAAGGCTAGTCCATGAATAATGAGGGAAGAGGAATGTTTATTTGAGACAAGTAAGTGCCTGTGATTATGTTAATATAATATGAACATTAACATTTTCTTTAATTGTCTTTTCTAATTTCATGGGTGGGCAAAAGGCAATACTTGCTCGCTGTCAATGGTTTCTGGAAGCAGGTGATATACTTTTCCAGCAATGTGGGAAAAGGCTTCCATACGAATAAACCCAGTCCTCTTCTATCTTCATCTCATGAGCATTGACTACATACTCCACACTTGCAAGTTCTGTTGATTTTATACTTACCTATAGGTGTAATATTTGGGAGCCTTCCAGCACTCTTTTAGAAAATGTAAGTAAACAGCTGCCATTGTTTCTCCAAGGAGTAGATGTGTGTTCAGTGTAATACCCAGGTTTCTGGTGTATGCAGAGATGTACTTGTAGCTGGAAGATAGCCTGTCCTTTATCCCTTCTATTCTGCCTTGCTTCCCTCCACCCTTGACTTCCTCAGCTGAAGCAGTGGCAATAAATATCCTACTATCTTAGAGCAGGTATAATTATTTTCCTTCTTCCTCAAGCAGTCTGAAGGCAACTTTTGATAGTTTTGCTTTGGTTCATTCTTTGTCATTATGAAATATCTGCGTGAAAAAGTTGTGCACAAAATCTTTTCCATTTTTCGGGTTTATTAAAAAAATAAAGCTTGAATTTTGACTAAAAACTCAAAAATCAAAAAATTTTCAGGAAATAGCATGTAAGCAAGGGAACATGCTAAAAACTCCCAGAAACTTAGAGGAAAATGAAAATGTAATGTCTTCCTAGGTACATGTGTGGGCACCAGCTCAACAGCTGTTCAGTTGAGGAATGAAGTGGCTGAATGTACCAGCTTTGTTGCATACTGTGGGGTGTTTGAACTGTCCTAAATCACATGCAACCAAGAAAAAACCTGACTAAATCATTCCTCTTCCAGATTTTGGCATGGACTTTGCTGGGTGGCTGTGTCTTGCTCTAACTGCAGCAAACAGAAAAGTTGTTGATCAGAGCTGCAAATGATGATCAGTATTAGGTGGTTGCCAAACATCAGCATATGAATTTGTTTGATTCCAGATGCCTAACTTTGAAGGGAGTGATAAAGAAACAAGGAATTAAATGGGCTGAAAGAACTAAAACTGACAATTACTCGAGGTGAAAATGTAAACACTTGTAAGAGCTGTTAAAAGCAAGAGAAAAAAAAAATTCACGGTCATCTTAAAAGTGCAGTAAATGAGTTTCTTCACATTCTTTGAGTTTGAAAATGCCATTGAATTAAACTTTACCTACTGAAGCAGAAGAATATTGTTTAATCTTTCAAGGGAGACATGTTTGATGCTGCTGTCATCAAACCCCAGCTATAATAATTTAATCTGTGTTCAAGGCTTTTGCAGTTCAGTTTGGTAATTTCAGAAACAATGTTTAGTTTGCATTTGATAACAAAATAATCATACTTTTGTGCCATGAACACAGATTTTATCTGGAAGTTTACATATGATTATAGATGTGTGTACGTGTATTCTATCCATATATTCATGCAGGGAAAAACTAACTTTATTCCATATATTTAATATTTTAAAGAATGACTCAAGTTAGTGGTATCATTTAATATGTTTAATGCTCTTCTGTATGTGAAGAGTTATTAATGTCCATTCTTTTCTGCACAGATATGAAATCTTGGAACTGTCATACTGGATCCAAAGTGCAGTCTACTTGATTTTCCTTCCCACTCCTGGTAAATATGGAATGCTCCAGAGAAAAATGGATTAAATTCTATCCATACCATTGTAAAAAAATGTGAATTCTTAACATTAATGCAAACCCTGAAGCACACTCTCATGTCTTAGTTCAAAACTCTAACAATAAACTCTTTGAAGCAGGAATGGTCTTATTAACCATGCTAATACCCCTTCCACAGGATCACAGAGATTAAGGATGTATGAGGTGAAAGGTGTTGTGAGTCATCCTTTCCATCCTCCAGGTGGATGTATGTACAGAGGTTCCTGGAAACAAGGCAAGAAAAGAAATAAATTTTACAACCTCTAAGGTGAAAATTTATTTTAGGGCTTTGCTAGTCAAGACTCTGCAGGTGATGATGTTATAATAACAAAATGAAAATATTTGACAGTTGGAGGAAATCATGAAATAAACAGTAGGACTGGTTTCATGGTGATTTTATAATTTATTTATTCGTTTTATTTATTGATTTGTTTTCCACAGGCACACAAAATTGCTTCTCTTTTCACCAACCATCTTGAGTCTTCCAGTGTGTCATAGAGGAGAAAGGGGAGTAAAACTCTTAATGGCTGCTCCTCAGTAAAAGTGACTGGAGCCATTGAAAATGGTGGTGTCGAGGTGTTGCCCACTGTCCTTTGCCCGGTGCTACTGCCCTAGGAAATTTGGAAAGGGATATGAGTTGCAACTTGGAAGGTACCATGTTACAGCCTGGAGTATTGTTTTCTGTCTATAATGCAGTATGTTGTTTGGGCATGACAGTCTCTAAATTCATCCTTCCTCAGGACCACCATGTAAAGCTTTAGACTATTTGTCATGGAGAATACTGGGTTTGAATGGGTTGGAAAAAGCTGGAGAGTTGGTAGTGCCATGTGAAGAAGGAGTTACTAACAGATGTTTGCGGCCCTAAGGGTCTGCAGCCTTTAGGGAGCAAGGAAAAGCTGAGCAGAGTAAAGCAGTCCCTGAAGCTCTTCAGCAAGTCTCTAGTTTTCTTTTACCACATACTTAATCCCTTTGAAGAACTAAGATTCTGCATAGACCTTCATTGCCAAACTCATTATTTCAAGTTTGCAGTTTATGCCTGTATTTACGTGGAAAAGTGCAAGTGTGCTTGGTGAGGTTTTGCAACCTGCCAGGTTACTTTGAGGGGAAAAATAAAGCTTCTGTAGCAAGCTTTTGGTGTGAGAGCTAAAGACTGACCTTTAGTGAAACACCTTAGTAGATTCAGAGACTTACCGCAGACAAGTGAGGCGTGTTTGTGTCTTGCTTCCTTCCCACAGCAGTTGCTGAAGTTTGCTTTTGTAGAGTTTGGGATTAGTAAATAAGGACATGACCATTACAGTTTGCAAATGCCCAAATAAATTGTACACTTCTCTGTTACCGTGTGTTTAACTGTAAAGGGAGTAGTTATCTCCCTGTGTTTTTATCTTGTTGTGATATTTCCTTTTAAGCGGCAGAAGAAATAAAAGTGATGGGCTGATAATCTCTTGCTGAATTCTCTGCTCATGTGTTTCACAGTTCTTCTTCCTAAGGCAGTACGAAATTCTCTGGCTTGGTGTAGCAACACAGAATTAAACTTCAGAAAAACAACTGACACCTACTGAAAAATTCTGAGGCTGCATAAATGCATCTAGCCTGCTTCGTTTACATGATTTATATGGCATAATATTAAAATTTCATGTAGCTAATCAGGAAAAGTAAATAAAATGAATGGTTTATTAAAGTGCTGAATGTGGATCACTATTAGAAGTTGGAGAGTCCTAAGGTAAAAATCTTTCTACATTTGGATATGATTCCTTTAAATGAAGTACTCAGTGGTTTGAAAATGTTGTTAGCTAGTTTTATAGACCAGTAAGGAGCTATTATTTCTATCATGTCCTCTGAGAAAAAGCACTTCTCTCTATTGGAACCCTAAGGATAAAAGCACAGGCAGATTATAGCAATATAGCTGTTTGTATAATGCTTACATGGAAAATAGAGACCGTTCCTTTTGGATGCTACTATGGGAAATTAAAATATTTACCTCAAGAAAGAAAAGAAAGGGAAATCACTTTGTTCCTATAATAACAGATAAGAAGATTCCAACCTGGTGTCTGTTTGAAGGTCTGGGGGAAAGCAAAATCTCAGCAGCCTGATAAATTGTGTATTTTATTATTTGGTATCTCTCAAATAAAAAGAACATGAATGAAAGGGCCTGACCTTTTCACAGGCCACAGCAGAGCTCTGACAATAGTCAATACTTACAGCTAATAGCTGTGCAATTTAAGATCTGCTGTATAATGTTATACTTGTAAACAATTTTTTCCCTGATTTCCTAGATATACATGAATAGCAAACTACTGCCAGTAGCTATAAAAATTAAGTATCACTTTCCTGATGGTTGTTATCCTCAATCCTATAATTAAAGCTGTGTGGAACTACACAGGGTAGTCGCTGATAAAGGAGCCAAGAAAACAGGCAGAACAGAGGAGCAGGCAGTCACTGCTTTCCTGGTGGCCTAAACACTGCACTAATCAACTCATGCTGCTTTTGATGTTCTTCTGACAAGATATACTATGGAACTTTAGGAGTATACTGTAGTGGAAATAGAGTGTAAGAGACATTTTAAAAGCAACAAAATACGGGAACTGAAATGAAACATGATGTGCTGATGTAACTAGGCATCTAGAAATGTCCAGATGGACTGTCAAGCCTGGAGACATTCAAAAGTTCTTTTCAAAATACAAATCTCCCCTTGCCCCTGGTTAACCCACTCTTCAATGTTTCTTTTTCTTTTTAATGAGTACAATGCAATACATTTTTTTATTATTATTTTTTATTACTTATCTTCCAGTTTCCCTATAGGTAGAAATCAGCACCAGCTATTTCAGTACCTGCACATCTGGTGCCTCATAAAGGAACGTGCCAGAACCATCAGAAATGTTTAAAACAATGCTTAGACCAAACACCAGCTATCAATTCAGGTACAGAGAGAGAAAGAACCAAATTAGAAATAACTACAGGACCAAACTCTAGCAGATGTTCAATTACCCCTGCTACCTACCTACCTTGCAACAGACTGGAGATGCAGTTGGTGCTGTATGCATGCGTTGTTTCAGGTCTGGTTTTGAATTTCCATGTGTGGTGCCATCTGTGCTAACACTCAGTGGTCCTACCACTCCCCTGCAGCCATCCTGCAAGGGATGTCTTGTTGCACAGTGTGAAGTTTTCATTTGTCTACAGCAACATGCTTCACAAAGAAAATGTGGATTGTGTTGCTGAGGATAGCTGAATGGTAATGTGCTCCTACCGGTGTTCTTCAGCAGATATCTTCTAATTTCCTATCTGAAGAAAGGTTTACATTTCACTAATTTTGGTTATCCTTAATCAGCGTGGAAGTGCAGCTTGGACTGCTGGCACTTGCAAAGCTCAGGGCTAGGTAGGGCTCTCCCTGCCGTACCTGAAAGGTGTGACTGCAGCTCTGCTAACAGTGAGGAGAAGAGCTCCAGCATAAGGAGAGTGCACTGCCCACCTTCAGCTGGACTCTAGGTCATTCCAAGGAAGAATTTCCATACTTGGTCATTAACTTGATCGAGTGACAAATTAAAAAGCATGTTCTGTCTTGCCAGAATGGAAAAATGACTTTTTTTTTTTTTTTTTTTTTTTTTTTTTTTTTTTTTTTTCCCTGCACAGCTGCAACTGAGAGAAACAGAAATTATTGTTCCTAAATGTGGATCTAGACTGGAGAGATGTCAGACTAACAGGGTAAGGGTGAAAGCTTTCTTGCTTTTGACAGGAGAAAAGCTTTAAGTTTACTTCCTAAGCTGATGGGTTTTGAAATGGAGTTCTGCAAAACTAGCAGACGGGCATTAATTTTTATTGCTGAAATTGTGTGTGTGATGTTGGAGAAACACCCACTCTACAGCCAGTGCCCTGTCAGTGGAGTAAACATTTGGCAATGAATAAGTTACTCTTTTTTCCTCCTCAAAAGCCTAGAGAAAGACTACTTTTTCCTCCTCAGGAAAAGCTGTAGATTGATAAGTAAATAAAACAAATGAGGGTCTACAACCTCTTGTTTAGAAGGTGCAATATTTTTAAGTAGTTTTGAAAGAAAATGCTTCTTTTTTTTCCATACTTTAATAAAAATGCTTCTTTTTTTTCCATACTTTAATATTCCTGAGCCCAGAGTGATGAGACACATCAATCCTTACTCTCTGAAAACCTTGGAAAAGTTTCCTTTTAGTTTGAAAGACTTGAAGAGCTTTAAAAGTGCCTTCAGGGAGTGCAAAAGTCTCTCAGGGCCTGGGAAAGAAAGGAGGTTTTTGCTTTTCATGAAAGGGCCAGCATTTACCGTTGGTGACTGTCAGTAAAATTTCATTGCTGTGAACTGTTCTTATCCACCACTGTCTGAGTCCCTAGGAGAGCAGATGTATGATGCATCTTCACAGAAGTATAAGGAGAGTGGTTCAGTTAAAATATGAACAGCACTAAATCTTCCCTTGACCTTGGCGTGGGCCTAGCCATGGGGTTTGTCCAAATCAGCTGCATATCGCTGCATCAATTTCTCTGCTCTCTATGTTTAGATCCCCCAGAATTCAAGAGTTGGTTTTAAGAGGCAACTGCATGTAGCCCAACTTCTAAGGCATGGCCATCATTTGACCTCACATCTCATTGACTTTCACTGTGTTTACTTTTGTTCAGAATAGACTGGTATGTTGTGTGCTTTCACATAAATTTTTACTTTCTTCCTTGCTTTCTTCCTTGCTTTTTATATGGACAGCAACTAGAAAAAAATATTTTTGTGTAAAACTTTATGTACATTTCACTAGAGAAATGTACTAAAATGCAATTCCTGCCATATCTAGATGAGATTGAAAAGGAAAATCTGTGTGTACTCTTGTCAGTAATTATTGTGTGCAGTTTCAGTGTTTCATTAGTGTCTTAGCACTATAAGAAAGTGTTTATGGGTGACAGTGGAAGCAAAGCTGAAGACAATGCAGCAGCAGGCAGAAGAGAGAAAAGGAAGAAATGGGAGATTCTGTCTGATGGTGGCACTTTGAGGCCTGAACAAAAAACACCCACTTCAAATTGAGAAAAAGCAAATGCTTCCTAATTTATAACAAGAGAGAGAAAAATTTTCAGTGCATTTTAACACATCAAAGAAAACTATTCAGAAACTAGCCTATTGCGAAATGCGATTTCAAAAGTGTATTTTTTAAAAAAATAGCAAACATGCCTGAAGTCCTCTAATCTGGATGTTTGTTTTTGGTGTTTTTTTTTTAATCTAGCTGAAGCTGCATGTTTTATACTTGGCTTTGTGTATGGACCAATGGGTGGAAGAAGAATTAAATAATTCTGAGTTGAGAAAATAAAAAAAAACCCAGCTCTTCAAAAGGAAAAATTTTTCACATGCAGAAATGAACAGCAGTGAGAAGAATAGTGAACTTGATACTTCCATCTGAATCAGTGACAAAGATGCCCTGAGAAAGGAGGATTTGAAGGTAAGGGGATGCTAGTGAATTTCTGATACAATTTTACTACCTTTCATCAGTGCTTTTTTTAACTTGATGAGCTTTTCCAATAAAAAAATACCAGAATTTAGCACTTTGCATATGGTGTTTTTCAGATGAACTTAAAATGTGCCGAGTAAGTACAGCTGAAGATGGTGGGAGTTGTACAAGCTCAGCATCTTTTGGGATCTGTCTCTGTGTACACATTCACTGTGCAAACAGCTAATCGAGTTTCAAAAGCGATAGAAAGAAAAGTTTATTCTGCTTCCTCCAAAAGCAGTTAATTTCCTGGGATCTATTGAGTCAAATGCCGTATTTATGATGTTCAGTTCCTCACTTAATCAAAACTAAACACTTAATTTTACACTTCATATCTCCAAAGAGGAGGGTGAATAATTTATAATGAATAATTTTATGAATTTGGCCTTTTTCTGTTCATGAATTATCCACAAGAGATCAGGACTTCTCAGAGGTACTTCCACTCAAATTGATTCACTGAATAATTCTTGATCTGCAGCAGTTTGTTGTGAGGTTTGATATTTAAGATTCCAGCTTTTCTGAGTGGACTCTTAGGCAGATATTATAATTGCCAACTCATTGTGTACATATCCTAAACTGCTGCTTCCAGGCTGACTCATTGCAACTGCTGTAGCACTTTTTATAGCTAGATATATTTTTTGTTTGTTAAATTTTAGAAAATTACTCTCAGCAAGCTTTTTTTAGGAGTCATTGAATGTAAAAGTTCCATAACGTAGCAGAAATCATCTCTTAGTGATCCTGATGGAAGGCATAAGTCTGGGAAATGCTTTGAAAGTCTTTCAGGAGGACAGAGCACTGTAGAAAAGTTCTTTGGCAGTGTTGGAAGGTGAGCCAGAGCAGAGCTCTCAGCCCTCTTCAGTGCAGCACTTGTGACTAACTAGATCAATATCTATAAGGTCAATGGGAGGGCCACATTAAAGCTGTTCTTTAAATTAGTTTTCAGTGATGGGCTGTGGTTACCATGGAAGAATAGCAAGTGGATGCTTTTGTTCCCAAAGGTCTTTGCATACTTAGGATCAACTGTGTTTACTGTGTTGTCTCTTTTATGCTACTGGTTATGGTATCCTAATCCAAATCTGTAGGTTTGTCTGTGAGGAACTAATAAGGGCTTTGGGGAAAGTCAAATTTTTAAGATAAATGGATAGATGCTAATTCACATTTTGGCTTTTGTAACCAGAAGAACAGATACCCAGTACACTCGGGAGCATGTCAGCATCTTTGTATTTCTCCTGGCATTCTCTTAAGTCCTGTCATGTAACAAATCATCATATAAACCAGATAAATTAGTTCTATAGATAGATTCTTTGCTCCTCAATCAATTTTGTGATATCAAAATATTTCTTAACTGGAATATCAGAGCAGCACATTTGGTGATATGGAGAGTAGTTAATGTAAGATTTTTAATTTGTTGATAAGCTCCAGAGAAACAGATAATCACCCATGTAGTTGTTGAAGGTATAATTATGTATAATTTATATCCCTTATGGAAAAGGGGAGGTTTGCTGATTACACATAGACAAAGTTTGTCAGTTTTTCTTTTTAGAGGCTCAGCACGTGCCTGAATTATGTGTATATAAACAAGTAGCATCAAACATAGCAAATTATGCAGATACTACAGTATCTCAGAACTTGAGGACAAAGATTTAAACAATTCCTATAGGCCTATTTAGATTTAGCTATCTGATGCCTGTGCCTTCATTTATTGGTTAGTCTTTCGATGGATGCTATATTTGAGCAATATACAAAAAATTTTGTTATGTACTCCATATTTTACCTAAACTGTACTTCAGATCATGATCTTGGTAGGCTTTCTGTCCTGTTTTTTTACATTTCTAAAATACTTCCAGGAAAACCTGCTAGACATAGATTTATACAAAATATTTGAATGGGAGGCAAGGGAGTCTGTGTTGACTAGGCAACCTCCTTCAACCCATTGCTATATGATTCAGGGAATTTTAAAAATGCAATTTAAATAGGAAAAAAGCAATCAGATCTTCAGTTAGTACAAATTAAAACTTTTCCTGGTTCCCAGATCCTCTCAGTTCTGGAAAGGTTGGAAAAGTTTTTTCTCGTATGTACACAAAAATGTTATTGCTCCAAGAATTTGTCATTGCAAAGATCAGCTGTTGAACCAAATGCCTCCTCTTGAGCGCTAAAATTACTGGTTTAGTATGATTAAATGTATTCTAAATGCACTGTTTTAGTGTGATTTTCCATGTTTAAAGCATAGTCTTTCATGGGATGGGAGCTATTTGAAAGCAATGACATGTGTATGTGTTTGTGCATGTGAATGAATGCATGTAAATGAGGAGGTCAGAGAGAATAAATTTGTGATGTCCAGAAGCCAAAAGAGACAGCTTTGAGTTAGAAGACCAAGAAGGTTTTAACCAGTTAATATAGAAAATAACTGATGTGCGACAAACTGAATTTATTTCATTTAAGATGGAAAGATTTATTATTATTATTAAAATATTATCTTCAGTAAAGGCTAATGGAAATAAACACAGACAGAATTTCAGTCATCTCCCCCGTCACTCCCAATACACAAGCTTGTATGCACAGATGTGTGTGCACACATCCAAGGAAAGCCTGAACACTGACACCATGGCTGTAACTGGTGGCCTTTGGTCTGCACATGGGGAAATAATGAAACTTAAATATTTTATGTTGAAAGTTTAATTTTTTCCAAAGTATATTAATGGAATAGACCAGCCTGACAAAACATCTAAGAGAACATCACTGCAGAGCTATTATTTATCTTTTTTATTATCTTCAGACAATTCCACTGCTCATAAAATACCCTGACTCAGGGGCATCAGATCAGAGATCACCTCTTTTGCAACCAGCTGCTGAGGCTGTAGCAGTACTCTGGAGGCACACATTTAACCAAAGTAACAGGGCAGTGATCACTGCAGAGATATGGGATTCTTTCTTCATTCAAAGAACTAAAGTTGCTACTATTATAATTATATCAAATTAATTCTTTATATAGAAAGAACACTTAGTAAAATAAAAATGCCATTTCTCCTTTTACAGAAGGGTCTGATTCAAAGAAAACAGTTCAGTAAACTTGTTAAATGGTTATGACTTCAACAAACCTGAAGAACCTGAGAGTGTTTAAGTCACCACATGGAAGTGTGTAATAGGATCTGGCATGAACATTTTTTTTTTTTGTTTTGTTTATAATTTCTAATAAAATCTGAGAAGAAAATATCAAGAGCATAAATAAAATCATATGAAAATATACTGGCAATAATATTAGAACATCAAGAGTAGCAGTTTAAATATTCACATAATTAGGTAAGAACTAATCCTCATAATACATCTGTGCCCTGGGTGGATAAACATTACAACTCTTGGGGAATGTGAAAACTAGAGCATAAGCCAGTGATTTAAGCAGAGGGTAGAATGTAAAGTTTTTCTGTTACTAACCCTTCCTCTGTTCCGAGTCATGCTTCCTTGAGCATTGGAAGACATACATTCTCTGTTCTGGCATTCAGACTGTATGAAAGAAAGTTGCCTTGACTAAGGCAGGTTTTTCATGCTACTATAAGAGTCCAGGTTGTGATGGGTAAGTTTTATGGTGTAATTCCTTAAATTCCAGGAGGTAGTTCTTCAAATTGTGGTTTTACTAGTCTCATAAGTCACCATGAGCTGCTCTAGTGTGGACTTCTGGCTGCTGCTGCAACCTCTAGTGTCACAGTACTCATAGAAGGGATTATGAAGTAAAGTACCTACTACATATTTCCTGAACTTCTTACCCAACAAAGTTACTTTGGTTTAAATCAATTGATGCAATTGAAGTGTGTTTTGAGTCTATACCAAATTAAAAACTAAGAAATTTTTTTATAAATGCAGCGTGAGGAGAGAGAACCCACTTTAAAATCAACCTGCAGCATTTCCTTATGCAGGTCCAACAGCGGCAGGATCTGCACAGAGTGGAAATGTTCCATGTACAGAAGTGATCACCAAGTCAACAGGCCCCTGAAACGCTGTGATTGCAGTCTGGCCCCATTCTCCTGCTGGATGTGACCATATTCTTTATTTGCATAGCATCTGGGTGAACATCTATGAAAAGTCAAGGATGCTTTTGGTCTGTGCTTCAAGCTTAGTCAACTCTTTTATAAAAATTTAGAGTGCAGCTAGGGTTACTTTCCATCTTTCAAGTCTTGCTGCAGAGTTGGAAATTAGATAATGTGCTGGGGTTGATTCCTAGTTGCAAATACTTGAAATGTATTTGGAGTAAGATGATATTCAGTTAGCTTGGGCAAAAAAGCTCAGAGGCTCATGGACTCAAAAGTTCATATGCATTCCCTGATTGAGTGCTGGCGTGCTGTAAGTGGATCATTCTCACAAGACAGCTGCCAATTTTTCGTTCTTGATAAAAAACCTATTATTGTCCCTTTTTTCCATGAAATATCTTGAAAGAACAGAGAAAAAACTGTTTGTATTTCTAAGCCTTTTAAGTGGGAAAGTCTGTGATTGGAGAGTGGCCTGTCAAAAGTCAGTCCTGAAAACCTTGTCTAGGGAGAAAATGGGAGAGGGATGTAGGCCAACTAATGTATTCTTATTGAGTTTTGCATGATTGAAAGAAAACAAACTACTAAGCAGCCAAACATTTAGAGATGCTGGAAATATTTACTATTTATGATACACCCGTGAAGTCCTGAGTTTGTGTAGCTTTCAAAAACCTTTTGTTGTTGTTTTTGTTGAGTTTCTTTATTTTTTTTTCTTTGATAATGATTTCTGATAAACTTCTCACAGACAAGTACATTAAATGAGGATTTAGATGAAAACAGGTTGGTTTTTGATCAGTACAGGTGATGATTAAGAATGCCATTTACACAAAACT